GCTGAACTTAGGGGATAGACACAAAGTATCAATCCCATCACACTAGTATCGGCCTGATACCAATATCAATGTTGGTATCGACACTATGGATACTCACCTCTAATGTTTAGATGTTTTATACCCACAGCACAAACACAGAGACATACATACAGAGCAATTACAACAGATGCTGTCCATCTTATTTTGAATCTTATCTTGAATCCTTGAAAGTCTTCTTTCTTCTTGGTGGTCATCCTGTGAACTTATGTGATGAACTGGTAAAGCTTTCAAAAACAGCACGAATCAAAGCCGACTGGAGGCACAAGTCTGCTGAAACTTTTGCAGCCCACGGCAGAGCATCTCACTCATTTTCCGTCCATAAGAAGTGATTATCAACATTCTCCACAAGACCCAGCAGCGAAAATCAAATTCTCCTAATTAAGCTCCAGTTACTGGTAACTGAATCAGGCAGTTTAATGAAGACTTAGCGGGAAGCGGGTGAAGAGGCAAGTTACAGAGCGGCAGGAGTTCACGGCTCAACAGCTCCCGATGTTTATCTCACACAGAAATGCACAGGGGCACAAACGCTTATTCACACATTGTACTTGTGCAGTTCAACATTCACCCTTTAGGCACTAAAGGAAACGTGTCTAATTAGGAGCAAATTACTGCCTGCAGCTTTCCAGTTGAGATCACTAGGTTGCTGTTGCTAAACAAACTTTTTTTTCATGAAGTTCAAATCAAACACAGCAGATCCCGGCAGTTACTGCATCGAGGACACGCTACGTGATATGAGCTGGGAAAAGTGGCACTTCAAAGGCTCTCATTACTCTGTTATACAATCATAGAAACCTTTAAAGCCACTGTCACATCTTTAGACGTTACCACCAATTAATGTGCTTTTTACCAAACTTGCAACTTTTTCCCCCTAAAAACGGTTTGAAAACTGACGCCAGCCCTTTAATTTTTTTTTTCTAATTCAAACTGACTTCAAACTGCAGCCTGTCAGCATCAACGGGGAGTGCGTGGAAAGGGTCTCCAGTTTCAAGTTTCTGGGT